TTGGTTAAAAAAAAAAAATTTTTTTTTTTTTTTTTTTTTTTTTGTTTCTTGTTCTTGACGTATTTATCTTCTGTTTTTTTTTTCATTTTCATTTTCTTCACTTCGTCACTTTATGTGCTTGGACAATAATAGTAATGATGTTTGTGTGTGTGTGTGAGAGAGAGAGAGAGCGATTACAATCATATTAATAATGATAATTTTAAAAAAAAGTAATTAATTAATTAAAATCAAATTTAAATTTTAAAATTTTGAATTTTTAAAATTTTCAAAAATTTTCGAATTTTGTTTGTTTTGATTCGATCATCACGAGATGGCGAAATAATCGATACAATCGATTGTTTGTTTTTTCTGCTTACTCACGGCTGAGATTCGATTCGATTCGACTGTGTGTGTTCTGTATTCATTGTTTCAATTGACGTTCATTCATTTGATTTGAATTTAATAATTTTTTTTTCGGATAAAATATCGTTAACTGATCAAAATCAAAAAAATGGTTGAAAGTAAAAAAGAAGTCGTTGAAGATGTCCAAATGAAATCACCTGCTCCAGAATCAACTGAATCATCATCGGCTATCGATGAAGCGGCCAAAAAAGTTGAACGAGAAAATTTTGTTATCGAAGAATTACGTGAACATGCAAAACAAATTGAAAAAGCAGTATCGGCTAAAGAACAACGTTTTATTCTACGGATTCTACGTTCATTGAATGCAACACGTAAAAATATTAATGCTACAATTTTACGACGTGCTATATCGTTATTCTATCAAAATGTCCCAGAACAACGACAAACATTATTGGCTTATATTGAAGAACCAATGGAAACTGAAACTACAACAACAGCATCTTCATCTTCAACTTCAACAACAACTAAATTGAAAACCAAAACATTATCACCTGAACAAGATGTATATTTTCATTTGTTGGTCGTATTATATCTACTTGATCTTCATAATTATAAAAGTGTATGTTTAAAAAAAACAAATTTGTTGTTCATTTCATTTCATTAATTCATTCATTTTCAGGCTATAACATGTTCGGATTTATTGATGAAAAAAATCTGTAAACATAATCGTCGTACATTGGATGTATTGGCTGCAAAAGCCTATTATTATCATACAAGATGTTATGAATTGAATGGTCAACTAAATGAAACAAAATCATTTTTTCATAGCCGCTTACAAACGGCTACATTACGTAATGATTATGAAGGACAAGCTGTTCTATTGAATTCATTATTGCGTATATATTTGCATTATAATCTTTATGATCAGGCATCGAAATTGGTATCGAAATCAACTTTTCCGGAAAGTGCTTCGAATAATGAATGGGCAAGATTTTTCTATTATATGGGACGTATTAAAGCTATTCAATTGGAATATTCGGAAGCAAGAAAAAATCTACTTCAAGCAATACGTAAAGCACCACAACAATCGGCTATTGGTTTTAAACAGATTGTACATAAATTGGCCATCACTGTTGATCTTTTGTTGGGTGATATACCTGAACGAGCAATTTTTCGTGATCCAGCATTACATCGTCCGTTGACACCATATTTTCAATTAACACAGGCTGTTCGTACCGGTAATCTAAAACGATTTAATGAAGTTTTGAATAAATTTGGTCCAAAATTTCAAGCGGATCATACATATACATTGATTATAAGATTACGACATAATGTTATTAAAACAGCTATACGTATGATAAATCAATCATATTCACGTATTTATCTGAAAGATATTTCCGAAAAATTAATGCTTGATAATGTTGAAGATGCTGAATATATTGTATCGAAAGCTATACGTGATGGTGTTATTGAAGCAACTATTGATCATGAACGTGAATTTATGCGTTCAAAAGAAACTACGGATATTTATTGTACATCTGAACCATTGAATGCATTCAATAGTCGTATATCATTTTGTCTGGATATTCATAATCAATCGGTAAAAGCAATGCGTTTTCCACCACGATCATATAATAAAGATCTTGAAAGTGCTGAGGTAATGTATACAATTATGTGTTTTTAGAAAAATAATCCATTTTCCATTTCAATATGTGTCTTGAATAATTCTAACCCTACATTAATTTCTCATACATTTCAGAGTGAAAGACCTGAAGTTTTCAAAAAATAGCCAAGCTAAAGATTCAAGTATTAGATATTTTCTTAAAAAGAATCTAGTCAAGTTTTTTATGTTTTCGCAACATTACGATTCAAATTTTAAATTTTATTTTTTCACTTGGATTCACTTTTTTTTTGATGAATAATTTTTTTTCTACGGAAAAACGTTTGACCAAAATTAAAACAGAAAACTCTTTTTAAAAATATTTTCCTTTTTGCATGTTTTTTTTCTCAAATTTTGCTAATTTGCTGATTTAATTGAATTTTCATCAATCAATCAAAAAAAAATGTATCTAGGATCGTCGTGAACGTGAACAACAAGATCTTGAATATGCCAAAGAGATGGCCGATGAAGAGGATGATGGATTTGCTTGAAGAAATATTGGATGCTGCTTTTGCTGTCGTTTGTTTCAAACTGAACTTTATCATTTTTTCAGTTTACCGAACCAGCCGAATCAACGAAAAAAAATCATTGAAAATTTCTAAATAAATTTTTTTTTCTTTAAAATTTTTTTCTAATAAAAAAAAGTTTCTGTTATTCGTTTTGTTTGTTTGGTTGATGAAAATATCAAGCTCGTTAACCCCGGTCAATGTCAAACAGGTCATTTTAGGAAAAAAAATCCCGCATCTGCACGTGTGTATGGTGTCACCCTGAAGCTCGTGCGTGTATATGATGCTTTGTGCGTGAGTGTGTTGGTTAATGGTTGGAACGACCCTTGGAACATTTTTTTTTCCTTCTGAATTAACCCTAGGAGTTATATAACCAACCGAAGGGGTTGTTTTTTTTTGTTGAAAAAAAATTTCTGAAACAAACGGGTTACATTCACGTGCAGGCCAAAAAAAAATAGAAAAAAACAAGCACGATTTGAGAGAATAAAGGGTTGAAAAAACCAACCACTGGTAGAGTCATAAAACATATAGCCCGACCCAGAAAACATCAAAATTTTGAAGAATCTTTTTGGAAAAACCAAAAAAACCAAAACAAAACTTTATTTTAATGCTGATGTTCTAGTCTAGTCAAACCAGAAAAAATCATCAAACTTTACCACCACCAACATTGATGTTTTTTTGTTGTGTTTTGTTGTTTGGAAATTCATATTTTTTATTTGATTCCGGTATAATTTTTTTTGGACATAAAGACCACACAAATTTACAATCGACCACCTTCGAAGTATCATCATCCTCATCGTAATAATTTTCATCATCCATCCATCATTTATGTTCGAGATATTAATCAAAACAGTCATGTTTTGTCGTTGTCGTTGTTGTTGTTTTGGTTGTCATAAAACTAAAATGCAATATTCATCTCAACAACTGGATCAAACATCATCGTTTGATTGATTGATTGATTGATTGATTTGATCGCAAAAATCTGATTTTTAAAAGTGTGCAATTTTTTTTTTCTCTCGTAAATTTCAAAAAAGTTTTTCGGTAAGTTTTTCAAATATGATTTTGTTTGTTTGAAAACTGTCCGCTAGATGGCCGTCTTGGTTCTACTTTTGGGTTTTTTTGAAAAATATTTTTCCGACATTTTTTCCGCCATCTGTCATATTTCTGTGTGTTTCTTCGAGAGATCGTGTGATTTTTTGTTTGTTTGATAAAAGGGTTAACAGGGCCGATAAAAAAACTGAAGACTATTTTCACCATCATCAACGTGTCAAATCAATGATGTTTCGGGCCAAAAAAGAAAAGTTTAAAATTCCCCGATTGCCCCGATTTGAATTTCATTTTTTGCATCGATCAAAAAACGACTCTATATATAAGTGATCTATATATAGAAAAAAAACAAACTTTTAACGATGAATGAGAAAGATGGGGGGAAAATGGAGAGAAAACCTTTGGCCTTTGAAACGTAGACGGATGATGTGTGTGTGTGTTTGGGATCAAAGGACAAACATTTTACATGGTGTTTTTTTTGACTGAAATTTCTCTGCTTTTGGATCCAATCAACATGATTGATGAGTGAAATGAGTGAACCAAACCGGGGAATGTTGCCAAAAAAAAACCCTTTGATCATCATCTTTGTCTTATTTATTAACCCGTTGAAAGTTTTGAAAATTTAGAAAAAAAATGAAGTTTTTTTTTTGTTGTTGAAAATCTTCCAGTGAAAGTAGATCCGTTCGGTTTGTTTGTTCGGTTTTTTTTTCTTGGTTGATGAGATCAAATCATTCAACAACGAAACAAAAAAAATGGTGAAAACATCCTTGACATTCATTTCAATGAAACATCAGTCAAAAGAAATTTTTCACTCGAATGTCATGAGAAACAACAAAAAAAAAATTCACTAACCGCATCCATTTTTTTTCACTGAATCACTAAATTGGATGGATGGATGGATGATTTGAAAATCTGATGGGAATCTTTGTTTTTTTTCGCGTGCACAAGAAAAATACCTTGCAAAATAACCCTTTCATAAAATGGAAAGCGAGGGAGGTTGTTGTTGTAGTCATACTGGAGAGGAAAGGGTTTGGACGTGTTGAAATTGATATTGCGCGGGTGGTTGTGATGCAATTTTCAAGGTGTGTGAGAATGAGGACAAATTTTTTGTAATTTGGTTTTTTCTGTTGTTGTAAATCTTGAGAAAAAACATTTCAGAAACCTATAAACATCTAGAAATCGTTTTGGATCAAAACCAAAGGTGTGTCGTCCATGAAGATTCCCAAGATTTTTGTTGTTTTGACATTCTTTTTTCGGATCGTGGGATTTTGTCAAAACGACAAGTCAAAGTTTTTTTTTCTGCACTTGCCTTTTTTTGGGATGCATTCGTTAACCCAATCATCACCACCTACAACAACCTGAAACTGGAACTATCATTTCTCCTCAGACTATATATAAACGATAAGATTTTTTCTCATTTTGGTTTCATTTATCTGGTGAAATTTTTCGAAGAAATCTTTTTGGAAAGAATTTTTTCCGAAAAAATATCTTTCCGAAAACTTTTTCCGCTGACCACTGAAAAACTAACAAAAAAGTGTAATTAGTGAGAAATTAAAATCGATCAACAAAAACAACAGCAGCAACCAAATATTCAATTACAAAATTTCTATATCTTCATAAATAAAGATTGTTTGTTCGTGTGTGTGTGTAAGTTTTTTTTCGGGAAACTTTCCAACAATTTTTTTTTTTTGGAATCTACCAAAATTTTCCAAACTTAAACTCGAACATCATTATGGTTTTTTTTCTCCTTCTTCTACATCCACTATAATGACATTCGCCCAGTTTGTTGTTGTTGTTGTTGTTTAGGCAGTAAATTTTAATTTTTTTTTAATTTCGAAAGAATATCAGCATCAGTGCAACCGACAGAATTGTTAACCGGAAAAACAAAAGAACGAACGAAAAAAATAACCAAATTCGAGCTGCATTCTATCTCTCCCTTCATCCTACCATTACCACCGAAAAAAAAAAATTTTCGGGAAAGAATTTTTCCCGGAAAATATTCTATATAGCCATTCTGTGTGTGTGTGTGTGTGCGTTTGGTGTTTTGGGTGTGTTCGAATCCTTCATTGTTTGTTTTTTTCTCATTCGAAAACCAATTCTTCCATTGCGCATTCAGAATTTTTTTTTAACCCTTTGATTCTTTTGTTTTTTTTTCGGTGAAAAAAAAGTGGGAAGGTCCATGTCCGATTCGACCAACCAACCAGTGAACTAACTCGAACGATGAAGAATCAGCCCGACAACGACGACGACGATAATATTCAACCCGTTACCATAATAAAGGATGCTAATGATGATGATGATGATGATGATGAAAGTAATTTAAGCTCGAATAAAGAATTTAATTTTAGTAGTGGTGGGGTTGATGATTGTAATGTAAGCTCGAATTCATTCGAAACATCAGTTGTCCAACAGCAACAACAACAAAGCTCGACGCCAACAAAACGGAATTCAACATTGAAAACACCAAGTTTGGATGAAAATTCAAACCGAAATTCAATGAAAAATAAAAGACAAAACTTCGATGAAAAATTATCAATAATCGATAGCGAAATGTTTTCAACACATCAAAGAATTTTGGGCCGAAATCTTAATGGTACAAGTAAGTCTATGGGAAGAAAATTTTTTTTTTTTTAAAGTTAGCTTCACTGCAATGTTTTTTGTTCTGAGTGCTGAGCGCTGAAGGGTTAGTTGAATGCTGAAAAAAATATATTTGCATGACATTTGATGTTGACATTTTAAAATTCATTTATTCATTTCTCAATTTGATTTCTCAATTTGATTTCGTAGGTTGTGTTAATGAAGTGTTAATTAGTGACCAAAGAGAGTGAGAAACAAGGTAGAGATGCATGTTTCAGTGGAAAAATGACGACCTTTTGGCAAATATTTGTAAACATTTAAATTCTATGATGATGATGATGTATTTGTTTTCGGAAACATATTCTTTTCTTGTTTTTCATCCTCCTTCTTCTTTGAATATTTTTACATCAATTAATCAGAATTTCTCTCTCTCTCTTTTTGGTCAGTCAAGAATCGATTGACAGAATAGTGGACAAGGGAAACAAATTATTCAAAACAAATCAATGTTGACACATTGTCAATCAGTACAAAATTTGAATATTTTCAAAAGAAATTTTTATTCATTACTTGGTTGCTTGGAAAAGAAAACAAAAAAAGCAGAATCAAGAATATTCTGTTTGGCTGATATTCCGTATTCTTTGATGTTTAGTGAAACAAAAAATGCGATTTGAAAATTCATAGGCGGGTAGTCAAATAATTTTTTCTTCTTTCTTTCAACCCGTTATTTCACATTTGGGGAAAAGAAATCTTGTCACACTGTCTCTCTCTCTCACACACACATTCAATCATTAACACTGTGTGAGTAAGCAGAGAGAGAGAGAGGTTCCAGGGAGAACCCATTCAAATTTTTTCTCTTTTTTTTCATTTTTTTTAACTCTTTTCACCCATTTCCCGAATTATAATGCCGAACCCATTTTCGGGTTAGTTTTTTTCGTTCGTTCGTTATTCATTCACTCTTTTACATTATTCGGTTATTGTCGAATGAATGAGAGGGAGAAAATGAGTGGGTGAAGAGAGTAGGGAAAAAAAACCAGAAAAAAAAATGAACGAATGAAATTATCGAAATGGGACTCTCTCTCTCTCTCTCTCTCTTGCCTATCTGGCTGGTTTGTTTGTTTGGGACCAACGAATTTTAACATCACCACCACCACGATGACGACCAAACAACCATGCCCATCATCATCATTGAATGAATGAATGGAACGATCATACAACACAAGGGTGGAAATGATAGAGAAAAACAAAAAAACGTTCGATTCTATTTCCACACACAAACTGACAACAACATTCGATTTTTTTCATTCGTTTTGGATTGGTTGATTTTTTTTTTGTTTTCCAATCTGGATTCTTTTCAAATTTTGTTTTTATATGTTTTTTTTTTCAATTATTCAATCAAAATTATGCAATTTTCGGTGTATTTTGTAAGTTTTGATGTTTGATCCAGTGTGTGTTTGGGTGTTTATAGTCGAAAAATTTTGAAATAATTTTCTTCAAAGAAATATTCCTAATTCTTGTTTTGTTTTGTTTTTTCCCTTTAAAAAAACCAATCATCAATCAATCAATTGAAAATATTAGTTGCAATGACAACACAACCATCAAATGAATCTGAATTACAATTATATCGTGTTTTACAACGTGCAAATTTATTATCATATTATGATACATTTATTTGTCAAGGTGGTGATGATGTACAACAATTATATGAAGCTGGTGAAGATGAATTTTTAGAAATAATGGCATTAGTTGGTATGGCTGCTAAACCATTACATGTAAGACGTTTACAAAAATCATTACATGAATGGGCTACTAATCCAGGTAAGTTTTTTGCAAATATGAAGCAATTTGAAGCAATTTGATTCTATTTCGACTTGATTAGCTTTATTTCAATCACCATTAATGCCATCATTTCATTCGAATAATAATCAATCAACAAATTCATCATCATCATCATCATTAACTGGACAATTAACTAGTAATGTTGATTCGGTATCAACAACACCGACAACAACAACAACAGCGGCAACATCATCTACATCCACAACATCGATGGCTATTTCAACACGAACAATATTAGGTGGTGGTCATCAATCATCATCTACGGCTATTACGGCTCAATCAACATCACCATCCGCAACAGCATTACATCGACAACAAAATTCAAATAGTCCGGCTAATGTATCATTTCATACCAGATCTGCCGCAGGTAATCAATCGAAAACACCATCACCAAGTCAATTCCAGGTAATTGTTGTTGTTGTTGATGTGGAAATAGAAATTCATTTCATTCATTTTTCCCTTTAGCCAAACAATAATGTTGAACAATATAGTCAACCATGTAGTCCAATAACAATGACGCCAATATTAACCGAACGACAAATTCAACGTTTAGCTGATGCTGCTGAACAATTGGTTAAAAATTTACCTGCATCAATTTTAGATCTTAAACCAACAATCGGTAATAATAATAACGGGAATAAAAAACGTATTGTCAAAGAAATTGAGGTTAGTAATAAATAATAATAATAAAGATTAAGAAAGTAAAGGGTTAAAGTTTTTTTTTTGTTAAACCATGATCTCTGCGACCATCTGTTCGTGATGATGATGAGAGAGGGGGAGGAAGAGAGAGAAAAAAACTTGTGTTAAAATAGTCGAAAAAAAATTGCTGCAATTTTTTTCTTAGCCAATTGGCTGATGACAAGAGAGAGATACGCCTATTCGAAGGCATGGCACAAAAAAAAAAATATTTTTTTTGATCCGCCCCAGGGTTCAACACAACGCGACACACACGGGCCTTTTTTTTCTATCTGCCCCAAAAATCAAAATACCGTTTGGATTTTAAATTTGGAAAAAAAAATTTCATTTTTTTCTGATTAACATAAAAAATTTGATAAGTTTTTTTTGAATTCAAAAAAAACTGATTCAAAACTACCCCGTGAATAAGTAAAAAAATGGATCGATCCATTTTCTCTCTCTCTTCAACCAACTGCCAATTTGAATGTTTTTTTTGCTGCTGGTTGGTTGATTGGTTATACTGCAGTGTTTATACAATGAAACAATGAGGATGTTTGTGAGGAGAGAGAGAGAAAAGTGTTTTTTTTTTCGATGCGCATCAATTCATTATCGTACAACACATCCCTCTTTTTCTCTCAGGGGTTAAACACAGAGGGAGAAAAAAACCCAAGTCCTGTCACCCATTATTGTTTGCATTTGAAAAAAAATTGGATTTTTTTTTTGCATTCAGCGATTGGCTAGTGAGTGATTCATTCATCCATTTTGATGTTTTTTTTCATTATAGTTTTTTTTCTAAACATAGTTACTATAGGATTTTTTTTGCTGTTGCTGGATAATGAAGGGTTGATAATAAAAAAAACTATAAGAAAAAAACCAGCAATTTTTTTTGACTCGGTTAACGGTTTTTTTTTCTGGATTTTTGAATTTTTTTTCCACCATATAGAACATAATGACAATGTTAGAAAATGATCCACATCGTATGAATGAAATAAGACGTTATGCTGCAATTTATGGCCGTTTTGATTGTAAACGTAAACCGGAAAAACCATTAACATTACATGAAGTATCGGTGAATGAAGCTGCTGCACAGATTTGTAATAAAATACCACAATTACTTTATCGTCGTGATGAATTATTTCCATTAGCAAGGCAAGTTGTACGTGATAGTGGTTATCAATATTCAAAAGGACATTCAAGGTATGATGACCAATATTTGTTCTTGATTTATTGATTGAATTACGTTTTTTTCTTCATTTTGTAAACTTCAAAGATCCCAAAGTTGTCGTATTGGTGGCAGTGGTGGTGCTGGTGGCGAAGATTCAAATACATCAATCAATAATGAATCAACAACAACAACAACAAAACGTATTCGTCTTGTTGATAATCATAACCATAATAATAGTAGATCTAGTCCATTATTGAATCAATCATTAAATAATGGTGATTCGGGAAAAAATTCATCAATCGGTGGTGGTGGTGGTGGTAATCATCATCAAAAAGATGATCGTAAACGACGACATGTAAGTTGTTTTTTGGGTAGAATCCTTTTAGGAGAGAGAAAAAATTGCAAACATTGAAAAACTTCATTTTTGTTAAACTAGAATCGTTTGGAAGGAATAGTAGATCAATTAAAATCATTAAGTAATGAACAAGAACAGATACAAAATCAAATAAATGAAGCAAATGAACAAGAAAATTTTCATGAATTAAATCAATTACAAAATGAATTGAATTTGATTAATGATCATCAAATGAAATTGGTTAATGAAAAAAGTCAATTAGAACAACAACAACAGCAGCAACCAAAACAACAACAAGATCATCAAAAGTAAGTTTTTGCAAAAAAAAAAATTATCTATTTAAACATGATTCTATTTCGATCCATATTTGATGTTTTTTTTTTGCGGTTGTTTGAGTAGAAATAGTTTGAAAAAATCCTTATCATCAGATCAAACAGAAACAATGATGATGATGATGATTGAAAGAGAAGGACAAGGAGAACATAAAACAATTGAAACAGATGATACTGATGATTCACAATATTCATTATATTCAAATGAATCAACAATACCAACAACATCATCATCATCATTGTTACAAGAACAACAACAACAACAAAATAGCCATCATTCATCATTATCAAATGATAATGTTGGTGGTGGCGGCGCTAGTGTTTCAAATGAAGCAACAACAATAATGACCGGTCCGACAGGTAAATCAGGTAAAAAGAAAACTGCAAATGGCTTACATCAACAATCATCGACACCAAAAACGACATTATCATCATCAAATGATGACTCGATTGATTATGGTAAACATTTAAATGATGTTATCGATGAAGGATTACGATTGATGGAAAATGTTATTATCGATGAAAATAATATTGATTTAAGATTATTTAATAAATATACTGAAGTATTACGTAATAATAATAATGCAACTATCACCGGTAATGGTCAATCATCGGATATTATTAATAATAATTATAATAATAATTATCGTTCACCGAAAGCGGATACATCATCAACAACTGTTCATCATCGACAACGTGGAAGACCCCCTAAGAATAATCAATCGTTAATGAATACCAGCAACACAACAACAGCCACTATATCATCAAATGAACGTTTAGATAATACATTTTATGAACAATTATTAACACAAGCACAAATACAACAACAAATGCAACAATTATATCAACAAAGTTTTTATGCACAAGCATTTTTTGGTGATTTTAATAATTCGGCCATTACATCACCATCATCAATTGATACTGTTGCTAATTTACCATCATCATCATCATCCACATTTCAAATTGATCATTGTAAAACTATCGATCATAATGATGACGACGATAAAAATATTGATCGTATGGAAATTGTACAAAGTTTAAATGCATTAATGTCAATATCAAGCAATGGAAATAATGATAATGATGGTGGTGGTGGCCATCATCATAATCATAATCATCATCGACAAACATCATCGGTGACGATAGATGGAGCCACTGAATCGACACAATCAAATTCATCATCACCATCGACGACTACGACGACGACATCAGTCGAATTTAAAATGTCATAAAAAATATGAATATTTTTGATCATTTCTTTTCTTTTATTTGGTTCAACAAAAAATAAAAACATTTTAACAAAATGGATTGTATCATTAACTGATTATTTAAAAACAGGCAATGCATTAGTTTTCCAATTTGAATGCCAATCAATTCCATTAAAACTGCTATCGATATTTTTTTGCATACGTTTCAATTCTAAACATATAGGAAAATCTTGTAATAATCTCATCATACATTGAACAAGTGTAGCTGAATCATTGAATAATAATCCATATTGTTCTTCGATAACCAATTCGGATATACTAAAATTTTTGAAATAAATTAATAAAATTGATGTTTTTTAAAAAAAAACGAACAAAATAGATCCAGGGAAAAAATTTGCTAACCTTTGATATCGATATGCACAGACAGGTAAACGAGCACCAAACATATCCAACACTTTCATTGGTAAATCTAATCCACTTGATGATTTATGTAAACAAACACCAAGATCAGCACATGCTAATAATTTTGGATAATCTTCAGCTGAAAGCCATGGAAAAACAAAACGTGTATATCGGAATGAATATGAATGTTCCACCATACGGATATAATGTTGTTTCATTGGACCTTTACCGGTAATGAAACAGATAATTTTCAAATCATTATCTGTACAAATTAATTTTTCAGCATAATTTTGATCAAATTCATATAATGCATCCAATAGAATTTGAAAATCTTCATCTTTGGTCCAACTTGTACTGCTCATTAGGATTACAGGACGATTTGGTTTTAATTGATATTCATCATTTTTAAATGAATATCTTGTAAATAATGTTTCATTTTGGCCATGATATTCTAGCTGTGAATATTCGGATTGTAATTTTTCCAAAAATAAATGTTTATCTTCATTTGATGTTAATGGTTGAAAGAATGAATATGGTCTATCATATAAAACGATAGCTCTATGATGGACAAGAGGAAAAATATCAATAAAATTGAATTAAACAAGACACTATTCGAATAATCATACTTTTTACCGATTCGTTTACGAAGATCATCTTTCATCGAACGTGTAACACAGAAATTATAATCGGAACGTTTACCAAAATTAAATTCCAGTCTTGAATATAAACGAACTAATAAATGTTTTTCACCTAATGACAATGCTAATATTGTATAACCATAATTATGCCAATCGATAATAAATTTCGATGAACGAATACGACAAACAAACCAGACTATGATCAAGGTAGGCACTGATGGTGGATTCTTGATTGGTAAAATAATGAAGAAGGAAAAAAATTAAAATTAACGCGTTCGCTACCAGCGACGCATATATGCGTCGTTTATTTGCTGTAGTTCTATGTGTTTTTCGAAATCTCCGGTAGCGAACGCGTTAAACAAATTTTTTTGTTCTGTCCAAACTTACTTGAACCAGAATATAATCCGGTCGTGGAATTAACATTAAATTCCATAAAAGAAATATAGTGTTGAATAAAATTTTAAAAAAATAATTAACAAATTTGGGAAAACCTAAATTTGATTGAAATGAAACAACAGTGTCAATTTTAAGAAAAAATTCCAACAAACAAATTCAAAAACATTTACATTTTATCGATTGATATGATGATAATGGATATATTCGTATACGTGGATTTGATAAAAGCTGTTCATGTGGCCGTGATTCTTGATCAGCAACAATATCAACATGAAAACCAATATTAGCTAATGATAATGAATGATATTGCATACGAGGACTATGTCCAATATCACCGGAAACACATATACAAACACTACGTGATTCATATGGATTGGTCATTTTGTTTCAAATTTTCTTTTTGCTCAAATCCAAAATAAAACAAAAACAAATTGAATTCAAATGGCCATGGATTTGTTTACATTCATCATTCATTGATCATCAACTTAAAACGACATCAACATGTGAAAAAAAACACAAAAGTACGGCCATCTAGCGATCGGAATCGAAATCAATGTGATGATTATGCAATGATTTTTTTTTTGTTTTCAAATTCAAAACTGAAAGAAAACATTATCATTTTTTGATTTAGGATTTTGAAAATCAAAATTGTATTAATAATTTTATTATTATTGGAAAACGAAAAGATTGAACCAAAATAGAAAATCAAGCAGATTTTTTCAATTGGATATTCTTTGCAATGGTTTATTTACGTTTTTTCGGATGGAGAACAAAAAAAAAGATTTCACTACTCAATTTCAATTTTGTTTTTCAAAGTTATCATCATCATTATCATGAAAATCATTTCATCCCTCTCTAGCTCTTCTCTTATTTCTCAAACCAATTCAAATTCTTCTCACAATCCTACCAGTTGTTGTTGTTGTTGTGATTGTTGTTTTTGGAAAATTTTCATACGAAATTTTTCATTTTCTTTTTTTTAAATTTTTGAATTTTTTTTTATTCATCTAAATATTCTAACCATATGGATGATTATTTCAAGTGAATGAAAGTGAGTGAAATATCCGAATTTATATGAATGAAAGATATATAATGAAAGAGAGAGAGGGAAACACATCAAAAAGCAAGCAAGAAGAGAGAGAAAAACAAAATTCAAGGAAAACATATAAAATTCTTTACAAATATACGTTGCATATGGATGATGATGATGATGATGGTAATAAACCTAGAATAATGATTATTATTATCATCATCATCATCATTCAGATTCCGACAAATGTTTTTCGTATGTGGATAATGATGATAATGAATTTTAAGCGAATTTTTTCCTTCGTTTTCAAAGGAAACGTGAAATATCTGAATATGATGATGATGATGATGATGATGAAATCTTATATTTTGAAAGAATCTTTTTTTTGGAAAGAAAAAATCTTATCCAAAAGTAAAATCAAGTAATCAGAAAATCACATAATCTTGGCCATTGCCATTAATAAAACACACACACAAACATAGACATAGAGAGAGATAGTAAAAAGAAAAAAAACAAAAAAACAAAAATCCAACTTACAATTTTCAGAATAATAAATTTTTTTCAATGGAGATTTTCTGATGTTGAATGAGCAGAATATACCAGCAGCAGCAACATGATTCTCTTAAGTCATTTCTCAATCAACTTCTTCTTCTTCATCATCATTGTGTTTTGTTTCCAGGAAATAATTTGATTTCAAATTATCATTATTATGATGATGTGTTTTCATTCGTTGTCATTCATTATATTCTTCTTCGGCTTTTTATTGAATAATAATGATGATTTAGATTCGTTTTTGTTTTGTTTCTTGTTTTGTTTCATCTATCAACAAACAAACACCTGAAAAACAAAAACAATAATAATAATAATGATGTCGGAAATTCTTTTATTGAATTTAAAAAGCTGAAAACAAAAACAAAGGAAAAACAAAAACAAAAATCAAAAAACAAGAATCGAAAAAACAAGAATTCAATGAATGCGCGTGCGTAAAAAGAATGTGTATATAGAATATTCGAATATTCGAACATTCAAACATTCGAATCTTGCGTTTGCGTACAACCGATTCATATTCGCAAACAATGTTTCTGTTTCTGTTTTTCATCGTCGAAATGATATTCTTTTATTCTTTTTCGTCTTGTTTTTCGATCAGAATCACATTTTAGCCATCACCATCATTATGAAATGGTAATTTTATTTCAAATGTCAAAAAAAAGATAGAAAAAGCAACAACAACAACAACAACAAAAAACCATCCGAAATAGATGAAACATTCATTTTTTCCGCTGTGTTTTTTTTTGTTTTGATTAAACGCATCTAAACACCCACACAAACTTTTGTTTTTATTGTTCATCACCGCTTCTTTGTTTGCGTTTTCTTTCCTCTACGATTCTTGTGTAGTGATTTTTTTTCCCGAATGAAAACATATTTAAGAAAGGTGCGGAATATTTGAATATATTTCATATATTTCAATGTTTTCTTTTGTAAAGATTCGACGAATACAATTCGATGCTTGATTGATCATTAACCAATTCATCCATCATTTAAATGTTATAAAAAATTTCAATTTCTGTACTTTCGATTTCCAACTGTTTTCATTGATTGGAAGAATTTCTTTGCTTCCCCCCTCAGAAAAAATCGATGAAAATCATTGATATCATCATCATCATCAAAATAACAAAATTAATAATCACTTTTTTTTGCACACTGTCAAAGAGTCAAATCAAAATTCATTTCGAATGTTTATTTTTTGAATTCAACAGCAGCAACCAAAAATTCTTCAAAAAACTCAATTTTTCATTTTTCTTTTGTTGAACATCTTTTGAATTGTTTCGCTTTATTTTTCCTTCATCATCATCAAATGAATTTTTTTAATTCCATCATCATCGTCGATATTGATTGATTATGAACATTGTGTGTGTGTGTGTTTGTTTGGTTAGAAAAACACCAGCATCAGCAAAATTTTTACTTGTTTTCACTAGAATCATCTATTCACGAAATTTTCTGTTTGAATTTTACACCGGTTTTTTCCCCTTCCAACAAAAATGTGATTGACAAGTTTTAAATCGTTAAATGTTTTCTTTTTGTTTTCTGTTGTTGATTGTTTAATGATGGTGGTGATGGTGAAGTAATGGAAAACATTTCCAAAGAAAAAACACCAAATATCATGGTGTTGGCGGTGGTGGTGGTTATTATCATCATGATCCAATCATCAATTTAAAAGAATCATTCAATTTCATCACGAAAAACAAACAAAACGAAAAAAAAAAACAAAGAAGAAGAAAAAGTTTCAATTATAAGATTTTATTATCGTTATTTTCATTTTCATTTTCATTATTCAATGATGTTGATGTAATTTTTATCGATGTTTCTCTCTGTGTTTGTTTTGTTTGTTTTTGGTTTGAAAAAAAGTGTGAATTTTTTTTCTTTTCTGTTGTCAAATTGAATGCAATGAGAGAGAGATGGTAAAAAAATGGAGAATTCACGATGTGGATATAGTTGGAGAATCTTCTTTTGGTGAGGATGATGATGATGAATTTTGGTGAATTTTTACGCTGCAACAACAAACTTGTCACAACATTATTATTATCGTTTGTGTGCGTCTGTGTGTTATGACATTGTTTTTTCTTTTATTTGGTGAAAAGTTAAATTAAAAAAAAATTCATTAATCATTCCAAACAAACAGCATCATTTGATTTTCATTGTTGATATTCCAATCAATAATCGATAACAAAAACAATAATGGATCCAATAAAATTAATGAATTCATCAAATCAATTTTATAATGAACCACCACAATTAGAAGCATTATCATTTTATCCATGGCAAATATTATTAATATTAATTTATTCATTAACAGCATTCATTTCATTGGGTAGTAATGCATTAACAATATTAATATTATTACGTAGTGAACAAGTATCAACTGAATTATGGAAATTTTTATTAAATCTATCAATATCGGATATAACAATGGCTTTATTTTGTATACCATTCACATATACTAATTATATGCTTGGCCGTTGGATATTTCCACGTTTTCTTTGTCCAATAATACCATTTTTTCAGGTAACAGCTGTTTCAGTATCAATTTGGACATTAACTATTATCGGTATTGATCGGTATGTGACATTTATTTGTTTTTTTCTCTGATTAATTGATTGATTTCATTTAATTGATATGAATTTTGGTTTGATTTAGTTTAGTCTGTTTATGTTTGTTATGTAATCAACTATTCAAACAGAGCAACGTTAAATCATTTATTTTTGTTTCATCATTTCGAAAGTATACATTAATTATGCAATATATGCAGATAAATTTACCTGTGTGTGTTTGTTTGATTCCAAAAAAAACATCTCTCCCCTTTCGTTTCATGAATGGCAAACATTTGTAACATGTGTATAGTATTTATTTATCAATTTGACAAAGAAAAGCTTTTTTATGTAGAAACAACAACCGAAATAGTATTAGTGTATGGGAGATAATTAAATGAAAAAATACCAAATACAACAAACAAAAATATTTGGTAAATTAGTCAATTGTTAATGATGATGATGATGATAATGGAACAACAAAAAAAACATTCTATTTAATTAGGTGAAACAACAAGAAGAATGACATATTCCCAAAAAAACACAGATTATAAATATTTAAAATGATCAAATTTTCATGATCAAATTTCAATTTATTCTTGCATATATTTAAATTTTGCTGTCAAATTTTCTTTTCCTGCTCTCACTTTTCCGAATAAATTTCATAGAAAATTCATTCTATGTTCAATATTCAAACTAAAATAAACTTGAATTCTGTATACACAAAATTGATTTTTTTTTGTTTTGCCAATCAATAATTAATTTGAATCGATTTGAACAGGAAACAGAAAAATTTGATTGCAAAAAAAAACCCTCAACAAAAATCAGATCAACAATAAATTTTTCATCAGAAACCTTTAATTTAGTCGAATAATATTGATTCAGTGGATTTTTTTTTTGTTTGTTCTTTTTTTAGATAGAAAAAACCAAAAAAAAAACCTTCATTTTATCAAATGGAATTGAAATCAAAAGTATTTTTTCTTCGGTTGTTGTTGTTGTTGTGATTAAAAGTGTATATTTTGTTTCATTGATTCATGTTGTTGTTGTTGCTGTTGTTGTTGTTATTAGTACTTTTTTTTTATCTCGGAAACAACCCATCAGCCTACGCAAACATTTTCAATGCAATGATATTATATTGAAATTCTTTGATTTATTTTTTAGTGTAGGTGTGAGGGGGGTATAGAATGGTTTAGAATCTAAAATTTAAATGTAGGTATTTTTTGTAGGTTAAATTTTGACATTTTTTTCGAAATTTTCTTTAACTTTTTGATTTTTTTTATTCTGTTGAATTATGGCTTGGCTCAGCATCCTCCTATAGATTCTATAGAATAAGGCCTATAGGGCAAAAATTCCATTGCTAACAAGGAAACAAAAAATAATGATATTTGAAAAAAAATTGAATTTTTTTTTTGAAACTAATTTTCACTTATTATTAACTTCAGGGCTTCAACTTATTTATAGCATTTTCTGTTGTTGTTGTTATATAAGCGCCTTGGTGAATCATTGTGGGTTAATAGGAAGCAATGATTAATATTTAGAATTCTATTAATTTATTTTTTAAATATTAATTTGAATTATTATTATCTTCTATCGTTTGCTTAGATTGGTTTTTTTTTTGGTTAAATTGTTGTTTGTTATGGATATTCATGTTGATATTGTGGATATTCATATTGATATTGTGGATATTTTGGATATAATTGTTGTTGTTGTTGTTGTTGTTGTTCGGGTTGTTGTGGATATTTTGGATATAGTTGTTGTTGTTGTTGTTGTGGATATGGTTGTAAGTTTTGATAATCCTGTTGTTGTTGTTGTTGTTGATAATATTGTTGTTGTTGTTGTTGTGGATATTCTGGCTGAAATATTGGTGGAAATGGATCTTGGTGTCTTTGATCATAAATTCGTTGTTGTTGCTGTTGTTGTTGATATCGTCGCTCATCGTGAAATTGTTCTTCTTCTTCTTCGTATTCTTCTTGTTGAGATTTTCGTTCTCGATCCGGAGATTTTCGTTGTTGTTTTCGTTCTTGATCCTGTCGTTCTTTTTGTTCCCGTTGTTTTCGTTCTTGTTCCAATTGTTCTTGTTGTCGTTTTTTATCTTTTTGTTGTTGTCTTTTTAATTCATAAAGTTCTTTCATCTGTATCAATACTGCAATAGCCGATGGTGAAAATAAAATATCTATATCATCATTATTAATATTCTTTTGATTATTATTATTATCATTTTTAATTGTTTCTTTTTCTTGTTTTTTTATTATTATTGTTTTTGGTTTTTGTTTTGATATCAAAATTGTTTTACTTCTATTATTTTTTTCATTATTAATCATTATTCGTTTCTGTGAAATCATTGTACGAACAGTATCATTTAATGTTTTCATTAATAATTTTCTTTGTAATTCAGATTTTGTTTGTAGTTGTTGTTTTGGTTGTTGTTGTTGTTGTTGTTTGATTGATTGTATTTTTTTCATTGATTTTTTTACTGATTTTTTCACCGATTTTCTAATTGATTTTCTGATTAATTCTTTCTTTATAATTATTTCATTATCATTATAATCATCATCATCAGTTTTGCTAAATGATTCTTTTTCAATCTTGATTGATTTATTATCAATTTTTATTTGTTCTTTAACAGGTATTTTATCAATTTTATCCATCGCATCTTTAACAGTTTTTATAGTTGATGTTTTTGTTGATGGTTCTAATTCATTTTGTTCAATTTGTTTAGCAATTTCCATTATTTTACGTTGTCGTTCAGTTTTTCTTAATGAATGATAAGATTTTGATTTTGATTTATATTTTTCAGCTATTGCTTCACGTAATACATTTGTTAATTTTTGAAATGGTGTTGAACGTGATTTTGAAGGAATTTTTTTCAATTTCATTTTTTTATTTCGTTCAAGATTTGATCGTGATTTAATTCGATATGATAAACCAGGACCTTTAACAGGACCTTTAACAGGACCTTTAACCGGACTAATAACAATACCGGGAGCAACACCAGGACCAACAATAATTGGAGTAACTTTTTCAGGACTTTTACCTTTACCAACATCATATCTTTGACTTTTTTTTGAACTTTTACTTGATTTTGATAATCTGGATTTTGATGTTCTTGATCTTGATGTTCTTGATTTTGATAATCTGGATTTTGATGTTCTTGATTTTGATGTTCTTGATTTTGATGATCTTGATTTCTTTGATTTCCTTGATTTCTTTGATTTCTTTGATTTTTTTGATTTCGATGTTTTTGTTTTTGATTTTTCACCAAATTTTCCACTTTTTCCTTTACTATGACTTCCACTTTTACTACTACGACTTGTTTCTTTTCCTCTTTTACTATGACTTGAACTTTTACTACCACTACGACTACTTTCTTTTCCTTTTTTACGATGACGTTTTTTTTTACGTTTTTTACGTTTTTTTCTTTTAAAACAATTAAATAATAAATCTTTTAATGTTAAACCAATTATAATTGAAAATGAAATAGTAACCATCATTATAATGATTATAATGTAAATACCAATATTGATCATTTTTAATTATTATTTATTATTATTCTTCTTCTTTGTAACGCGATTAAATGATCATAATTTTCACACATTCAATTCATTGAATGTTTGTTTGTTTATTTGATGTTTAAAATCAATTTTGTCAACAGTTTTTCGCAAACCATTTTATAATCAAAAATAGTGTGAAACAAAATTGAATTTGAATTTTATGAAAACAAACAAACAACAAATTCATTATGATGATTTCATTAATATTGTTGTTGTTGTTGGTTTTTTCATTTTATGAAAATTATTTCAAATGAATAAATTATAGCAGCAGCGGCAGCAGTTTGCTGCATTAAACAACCCAGAACAACAAAAATAACATGCAAAAAACTTTTCAAGTTTGGTTTTTTTAAATATAAATTATGAATAATCATTAAAATTTAAATTGAAATTCTGGATTCTGGATTCTGTTTTTTAAAAATTCCTGTTTGACTTTTTTTTTCTTGGATTTTTTGGTTTTCTGGGATGTGAAATGCGTACATTCTCTTGATGATGTTTTCCTGTTCATTCGAATCATTTATGGATATTAATAATTCAATGTTTCGGTTATGTTTTTTTTTTGTTTTCCTATTGATTTTTGAATGAAATTATCACCACTATCTTAATCCTGAATTTGCATTCGAAAGAATTTTCCAAAAAATTTATCAAAGTTGTCGTTTTTGTTTTTAATTTAACCATCTGTTTACAGTGAATGTCATTCACAATGATAATGATGATGATTGATTGTTGAATAATTGAAAATAAATGAATATAATGAACACACACAGAATCACCACCACCACCACCACCATCAGGGCTTTCCTTTTGACAGTAAAAATAATAAAATTAATTTAAAGCTAAATCAAAATGATAATTCTGTTGTCGTTGTTGATATAGTTTTCAATTCTATACGTGTTGGTTTATGAAACCCAAAACAAAAAGAATCCATGATGATGATTTCTTTTTCTTGTGAATTCATTAATTTTTTTTCACTAGCTTTTTTTTTCTGGTGGGAGGTTGTTGTTGTTTTCGGGGGTAACAGATTGAATCCATAAGATCAGAAAAGAAAAGAAAAGAAAAATTCATTTAAGAATGATGATAGAATTTTCATAATTTTCATTCTTCTTTTTCGAAATTTTCCTTTTAGCAAATTATTTTAGTTTTTGTCAAGCTGTTTCACCACCATCACCACCAGCCAAACTATTGTCATTTTTGATTTGATTAACCCGTTTGTTTTTCTTGGTGTCTTTTGTCGGATGTTTTGACGTCTCATGTACCAAGTGATGTCTCATTTGGATTGTCTTTTCTGCTTCGAAAATAATGATAATTTTCTTTCGGTTTCATTAAATCATACGTCAGAATAGCTGGAAATTCTCTGTATGTGTGTGAGTGATGTCAACATGAGAAAAAGTAGCTGAATGTTCAAAGAAAAATTCCCTATCTGTTTTATATCAGTTTGGTAAACATCAATAATAATGTTATTATGAATATAAGAATTGAAAAAAAAAATATCCATCATCATCATCGAAAGCAATCAATGAAATCGGTTTTTATTATTATTGATGATGATGATGAGAAACTTGAATAAACAAGGCAATTCGCCTTTTCTTCTTCTGATCAAATTTATTGCCATTTCTGTTGATATATTCTGTAGAAAAAAATGATCAACAGAAGATTGTTTGATTTTTTGATTATCCGAATCACTATGGAATTCGAAAAATAAACAAACAAAAAATATAAGAATCTATCAAATACTGTATATGTAGTGTTGCTTTCACCCAATTACTTTATATTCATCATCATCATCAAGATGATGATGATTATTATTATTGGGAATCATAAATTCTATTGCTAATCAACCGGTAATGATGATGATAATGATGATGAAACGATATTCTTTCTTTCTATTTTTGTTGTTGTTTTTTTTCCTCTCTCTCTCTCTCTCTCTCTTATGCATCATTCCACAATTTTATCCATTCAATTTCATTACAAAATTATTATTCGAGATTTGGAAAAAATGTTACAAAATATATCCAACTATGCCCAAAACAAAAAAAAACATTCGATCTGTTTCTTTTTCAAGAAAAATAATAATATTGACAACCCAAAAAAAATGAATGAAAAAAAGTTCCAAAGAAACGAAACAGAAAAAAAAAATCCAATTATATATAAGATGCCGATATATTGACTTTCGTAACCGAAAAAAATACACCTAAAAAAAGCATGATGATGATGAAATTCAAGTTTGCACCTTTAATATTATGAGAGAGATGGGAGAGAGAAAGCTTGATCATACATTAATCATTTTCGTTTCATTTTTCTTTCTGAAAATATTTTCTCACAAAGATTACTTGCAAGAAGAAGAATTGCAATGACAATGAGGTGAAAATATCATAATTTGAAATCATTTTGTTTTCATTTTCCAAAAAAAAAAACAAAATTCTTTTCCAAATTTTTTGTTTTCATTTTAAATAATGGAATGTTTATTGATTTATGATTATTTTACAGAGAAAGAGAGAGAGAGAAAGAGAGTGAGTGAGTGAGTGAGTACCCTTCGAATGAAAAATTTAAAATTTCAACATTGATTTTTCTTTGCAAAAATGTTTTTCCACTATTTTCTTTTATTTATTTACTACATATCCTACGCTATACTTGATTGCATTTGGAATGTTTTCGTTGATACGATTGACAAATTTTGTTTTCACATATTTATATATACAATGTGTGTGTGGATCATGTCAAAATTCTTAATCATTAATAAGGAAATTGAGTTTTTTTTTATTTCACTGTTTGTTTGTTTGTAAAAAAAAGAAGAAAACAAAACAAAACAAAAAGTGTCAATATCTTTTGTTGATGTTTAGTGTTCATGTGTTCGTTCATGTGTACAAATAGTTTTGAAATCTATTCAAAGAAATTTCCAAAGAAATCAAAAATAAAATTCTTTTTCCCTATTAAGTTTTTGTTTGTTTTTTTTGAAGAAAAAAAAGCAAAAAGAAAAAAAATTGAACATTGTCAATCCGTTTCGGATTCAGACAGAAAAAAAACAAGAAGAATAATGTAGAATAAATAAATAAACTATAGATCAAATTTCATCATCATCATCATCATGAATAAATGAATGAATGAATGATAAGTAAGAAGAAAACAACAAAAAGATGTGAATTTAAAATCAGAAGAAAACAACCAGAATAATTTTACTTTTTTTCCCCTCATTTCCTTAACATAATGTTAATATTTTTAAAAAGTTTTTTTATTTTTGATAATCAAATTTGAACAAAATTTATACATTTGTTTTTCTTCTTTACTTTTTTTTAATTTTTAAATAGATTTTTTGCCATCATTTATCCATTTCGTTCAATGTTATGGCTAAAACGACATAAAGTGATAACAATATATGGTATTTGGTTGTTTGGTGCATTGATTGCATCACCACAGTTATTTTATTCACGTATCGAATCATTTAATTATCGTGGTCAACAATATGATGATTGTCGTGAACAATTTAGCTATAATGTTGGCCTTTTATATACAATATTTTTATTTTTGTTCACATTTTTTTTACCAATTATTGCATTAATATTTGTTTATTCAAGAATTTGTTTACATTTAATTAATAATACAACTGTACCGGGTAATCCTGATCAAAATCGAGATAAATATTGTGTTAATAAAAAAATTAAGGTAAATAAAAATTTTTATTGTTTTTTTAATTAACATATTTTTCTTTCATTTTTCTCTCATTTTAATAGGTAATCAAAATGTTGGTTACAATTGTTGTATTATTTGCAATGTGTTGGTTTCCAATACATTTATTTCAATTATTAGTATGGTTTTATCCATCCATACAAAAACAGAAAACAACATTTTCCTATTATGTTTATGTTGGATCATATTTTCTTTGTCATTGGTTAGCAATGGCACATTCATTTGTTAATCCATTTGTATATTGTTTTATGAGCGGAAATTTTCGGGTAAGTAGAAATTTGTTTTTTGTTTTCATTAATAATTTCTACCACAATTTATCATATCATATCCCCCCTTTTTTTTGTGGCTAAAAGCAATGAATAGAATTGATAGTTATCACTTTTTTTCCCAATATGTTTTGAATTATTATTATTCTATGTGTGTTTGTGTTTGGAGTTTTGATATATATTGAAAATATTTATCTAATTCGATTCATTTCATTTTCATTTTTTTTCGATTCACTAAACAAACAAACAAATAATGATTATGGATAAATATCCAATTATGAATATGATAAATATGCCATATGCCTTTTGAAAACAACAGAATTTGCGAATACGAAAAAAACGAATGTGTTTGTTGTGTGTGTGTGTGTAAATTGTGATAAGAAGCAATGAGAAAAAAAAACAAAGTTGAATTATTTGATCTTTTGGATGGTTGGTGATGATCGGGTTTTTATTTATTTATATAGAAGAATAAAAGAAAAGAAAAAGTTTAGTCAATGAATGAAATGAAAGAAAGAAATTGATGAAATTGAAATTTTATTTTCAATTTTTTTATTTGTTAGAAAAAGAAAAATTGTCACCATTATTAAGTAAATATTCATTTTTCAAGCACAGGAAAAAAAATTTCGATTTCGATTTTTTTTTGCTTTCAATTGCTGATTCTTTGCTTCTTTTTTGCTTTTCAATTGTCAATTTTTAATTGAAAATCTTAATAAAAATTTTTTATTATTCACATTCATTGACAATATATATTCACATTATCAATATCCATTGTCAAACACACACACATTGGATGATGACAGTGTTTGAAATTGATTACTGCAGCAAAACGAAAAGTTTCCTGAATCTTTCCCTATTTTTTCCTCTGTTTTTTTTTCATTTATTTTTATTTTTTGCTTTTGTTTTATTTTTTTGTTTATTTTCGTTTTTTTTCTGGTGAAATATCGATGGAATAACCGAAAAAAAAACATTGAAACAAAACCAAATATAAAGTGGTTTTTATTCACATCATCATCATTAACAACAACAACAACAACAACACCAACAACAATAACAACGATGACGACAGCTAAAAAACAATATCCCGAGAATCAATAAAAAAAACGACAAACGAATAATAAAGGTGAATAATGAAAACAAACAAACAAACAAACAAAAAATTCTCTGTCTGGGATTCATTTTCCCCAATGACAAAAAAACTTGATGATGATGATGATGATGATGGGAAACAAAACAAAAAAATTATTATTATTATTATTATTATGGTGGTTTTTGGGGGAATGGATAGAATGCACCGAAAACAACCACAACGAAAAACAGCAACAACATCTTTTTTGTTTCTCATCATTTTTCATTCATTCATTCATTCACGATTCATTTACTAAATAATTGGATCAAATGAAAAAACTAGAGATGGTCATTGAAAGAAGTGAAAAATTATATGGTTTGAAATCGGTTTTTTTTTAATGTGGTGTATATATTGATGGACGATTATAATCAACGGTTTGGTTTCTTTTCTTTTTGTTTATTATAATTGGTCCAGAAAAAGCTAAAATATTTGTTTGTTTGGTTTATGTGTTTCAAACGTCCTTCATGATATAGACTTTCTTTTTCTTTACTTTTCATTTTTTTTAAAATCGCTCTCCATTATTATTTTTTTTTAATGGAGTTCTTTATCGATTAACGATCAATTTTTCGATTCTGATTTGATTGAAAAACAACTAAGAAAAATTGCGAAAAAAAAGAAACAAATTTTTCCATTGAATTTTAATCATTAACTAATAATTATTTGGGAGGGGAAGGGTTAAATTTTATTTTATTTTTGTGTGTTGAATTATGTCATTGGTGTTTAGAGAGGAAAAGCAAAGAGAAATAAGTAAAAGTAAAAGTGCAATCATCGATTATTAATCAATAAAATCATTCAATTGTTGTAATTGACCATTTTTGTGTTTTTTATAAAATTTTACAATTAAAAAGAATGCAGCAATATAGCCAAGAAATGCTTCAAATAAACCACGAAATGTTAGATTACCAAGTGTACCAAATGTATTGACAATTTTTCGTCCCCAAATCAATCGTTCATAAAGATCATCATATTTTAATTTTAAACGTAAATGTATTGAACGTTTTAATTGTAATTGCATTGCAGGTATATAATCATTGATTTGATGAAAATTTCTTGACATATTTGCTAATAACAAAAATGGAATTAAACCAGTTAGTGCATGTGATAAGGTAATTATAATTAATAATGTTGTCATTTCTGGTCTTAAATCTTCAACAACTATTTCACATAAAAATGTAACATTAATCGGTATCGAAATTAATGCATAATAATATAATGCATCACTCCATGTTGTTTTATCATCATAAAGTACATTATATGATAATTTTGTATGTTCAACTAAATAAAATCTTAATTGTTTCATATGTTTAAAATTTATCGATACACCTGATTTTGATTTATGTAATAGTTGAATAAATTTTTTATTCATATCAACTAATTCATGATGATAAATTTGATAGCCAGCCATTATTGTATATGATAATAATAATGCACTTTGTATAAATAATAATGCCAGATTAAATACTAATGTATATTCAAATAAACATATTAATTTTGGTATAAAGAAATTTTGTAAAAGTTTAGATGAATAATATATTTGTGGAAGAACAAATATGGATGTAATACAGAATATGCTCACTATTTAAAATAAAAAGATTTTTTTCGTAATTAATTTATTGAAGAAAACAAAAAATTTATTAACACTTACAATAAAGAAGATGTCCAAATTCACTAAAATAATTACTAAAATATATAAATATTAAAACACGATTACGTGATTGAATTGATGAATTTGGAAATATACGTAAACGATTATGTTGAAATAATTTTTTATCAATATATTCCATTTCATACAATGAATCTATCCAAACTTTATATGAAACAATTAAATTTGTTAATGAATTTATTTTGGATATAAAACGATGATTTTGATTAAATTGTTGTCGATATTTATGATAACGTCGAGATTTTTTTATTTGAATATTTTCATCCGTATCTAAACTACGATTATATTGATCAGTATTGAAAACAATACAATCATATAATACTTGAAAACTAAGTTTATCAGGTGAATGGCCAAAAAATATCCAAATACCCAATAAACCTAAACAACAGAATAACATTAATATAATAAGAAAAAATTTATTAAAAAATATACGATTTAACCAAAAATATTTTGAAATATAATCATTTTCATTTAATGGATATCCTTCATATTCTTCATATAAAAACAACATCAATGATAATCTTGTTATAGCATAAAGTAAAATTAAAACATCAACAGTATGTATGAAACGATATTTAAATGAACCATATTCTTCACAAATATGTTTCATAGCATAATATAAAAATGATCGGATTTTGAACAACATTTTTTCGTTTCGTTTTGTTTTTTAGGTTTTGGTTTTTTTTCGATGATTTGCTGTTTTGCGGTTTTCCGGCTGAATTCAAATGCTATTTTGAAAAAATAAATACCTTATCTTTTATATACCATTTGGTTGTTTGAATTTTCTTTTTTCTTTTTTTTTGGCAATTATATTGTGGGTAGATGATAATCGATTTTCGAAATATAATCAATGTAATTAATAATCGTTTAAACAAAAACAAAAAAATAAAAGAAAAATGAATCATTAGTTAATGTTGATCGAATTTCTGGAGCCAATTTTCTTTTCCGGGAAATTTTTTGAAAAAAAAATTTTTTTTTTCCAAAATTTCATTTTCCAAACAAACATCTAAAACTAAATTAAGTTGACTTTTGATTGGAATAATTTTATTTTGTTTGTTTGTTTTTTTCATGTGAATTGTCAAACAAAAAAAAACCGATTAAAAGTTCAATTAAATTCAAGGATTTTGGCACATAATTATCGATTTAATCGGTTCACTCCGTACAGTCGATGAGCATTGCAATAATGAGGAAAAACAAAATGAATCATTAGTTAATGTTAATTGTATTAATTTTCTTTAAAAAAATTTTACAATTTTTTGTTTTTCTTGGAAAACTAATAAATTTATCCATCGAACCAAATGATAAGTTTAAGATGACCTTTTGTTTGGAATAATGAATAATAAGGAAAACAAAATCGATACATTCAAATTTTTTCTTTTTTGTTTGTATCGAATTTTAAATCGATAGTTTGGTTCTTCTTTTTTTCGATAATAAGTTTAGTGCTTAACGCGTTCGCTACCAGCAGCAACACGCATATATTTGCTGTAGTTCTATGTGTTTTTCCAAATATTTTATCATTTTCATTATAGAATCCCCCTCCCAAAAAAAAGTTTGAAAATAATCTTATTTTACTTTCATTGTAATCATTGAATAAATACATCAAATCAAATTACACATTGTCTATTTTGATTGAAACAACACTAAAAAATAATAATGAACAAGTAGAAAAAAATAATCAGATTTAAATCTCATTTGTTTTATTTTGTTGTTGTTTTTTTTCACTACTACCAATGTGGAAATGGAAAACAAAAATCCTGTTTTCTATTTTCTGTTTCATTAAGATTATTATTTTTTTTTTGTTCATCTTGAAAATCATTATTATTTTTGTTTTTGTTATTGTTGGGTTGACATTTGTGGCGTTCTACAGTACATTTGGATAATTCAAGAATCGAAGAATATTTTTCCGCTATAGAGAGAGAGAGAGAGAGAGAGAGAGAGAGAGAGAGAGAGAGAGTG